GCCCGGAGCCTGGCGCTGGCCTGCGTGCTGGGCGCGCTGTGCCTGGCCTCGCTGGCGCTGGCCCGCCGCTCGCTGCAGCACCTGCTGCTCTGGGCCGAGGGCCTGGACCCGCTGCTGGGCGTCTTGCTCTTCGTCCTGGGCTTCGTCGTGGTCTCGTTCCCTTGCGGCTGGGGCTACATCGTGCTCAACGTGGCCGCCGGCTACCTGTACGGCTTCGTGCTGGGCATGGGGCTGATGGTGGTGGGCGTCCTGCTCGGCACCTGCGTCGCCCACGTGGTCTGCAGGCGGTTGCTGGCCGCCCGGGTGGTCGCCAGGATCCAGAGCAGCGAGAGGCTGAGCGCCGTCATCCGCGTCGTGGAGGGAGCAGGCGGCCTCAAAGTGGTGGCGCTGGCCAGGCTGACCCCCATCCCGTTTGGGCTCCAGAACGCCGTGTTCTCGGTGAGTGCTGTCGCCCGGCGCGTCCCTCTCCAAGTCCGTGCTGGAGCGCTCCATCAGATGTTGCCTGCGGCGACGTGACAGCAGAAGTTAGTCACTTCCAGTCGCACACAAATAAAGCTGATCCCAGTCGGGCCCCTAGTGGGAGATCGGGTGGAAGGAGGACGGCCCCTTTTTGGCATGAGTTTGATAAAAAATGAACAGCCCCTGTCACTGTGAGTGCACATGATGGAAATGTCCACTTGTCCTCTCGTTTCTCTGGCAGCTTTGGCAGCAGCCAGAGAATAAAGGCTTCGCGGTTCCAGCTTTCTCTGTCGCCTGCTTAGATGCAGCCAGGGTTTTGGCTCGTGTTTAACGAGGAGGCTGAAGGAGTGTTTGGGTAAACAGTGGAGCTGGGAGCTGTAGACTCTATTTTTGAGTCTCCTAGTTGTGATAGGCCTTTTCTTCATCTAGTAATTTGCTCTAATCCAATGTAAAGGGAGAAAATTCTGTTAAATCTATGAAGGAACCTCATGTTGAAATTGCTAGGTAGTGAATGAAACAAAACAGGGCGGGTAGCTGTTGCCGGGTGAGCTTGTATTTTTCTTCTTTACACACCTGTGGACTCTTCTGCCCCCATGTCCTTATGTTCTGCCATCGTGCTTAATCCCGCGAGCTGGTGTCATCTTCTGTAGCTGATGGAGGAATAGAAACCCTGCGAGTGAGGAGACCTCCAGCCGGAAGGAAGGAATCCGTCTTTGCAGACTTGGTGACTTTGAAACACATTACTAACCCTGTCTGCCCTTGCCTTCCTCCTTTCTCAGGTGAAGGCGCTGAACTAGATTGCTGAGTTCCCCAAATGAAATTATTCTACGAAGAGTTCACAGGGAGCTTTTCAGGAACTCAGCCCTTCAGCTAGACTTAAAGAAAACCAGGGAAGTAAAGCAATAGCATTCAAAACCACAGGACTGTTTGCATTTTATGTTGTTAGTGGTTCTGACATTGTTCTGTTTCAAAAATAAATCATTTTTAGTCTCTAGAAACTTGCTTATTTTATAGTAAGAATAATTCCAAACATCCTACCTCTTTGCGATGAAATTGATTGTTTTTCTTCTTTTGAAATACCTTTTCAGATGTTGTGTTGATTCTAACCAACATCAGTGACTAGAACGAGATTTGATAGAGGCCTGGAATCAGATAGGGGTTATCTGTAGAGACAAAGTTTGGTGTTCACTGTAGTTTGGTAGCCTTGAATTTCCTACAGGTACACATGAACTTTGACCCAAGCTTAGGTAATAACAGACAAGTGTCCTAAGACTTCGAAAGAGGGTTGGGATGAAGGAAAGTGAATAGTTTTATTCCGTTAGTTTGCTTTGTTCTCCGGTATAGCTTGTATCCTTGTTCCTTTTCTTGTCCACCTACTGTGTGCCTACTATCCTAGGTTCTTTGCATATACTATTTCCAACCTTGACGCCAGCCCCGCGGGTGATTATGTGTCTGCTGTAGAATGTCGTCTAACAGTGAAGCGCACAGGGCTGGTGCAGCGGGGCCCTGCTGTCTGCTTCGACTCCGCTGGCCGTGGTCCAGTTGCTTACTTGTAAAACGGGAAAGTAGTGGTTCCTATTTCATAGGTTTACTGAGAAGAAAGCGTCAGGTAAATAACACGCAACAGACCTGGTTTAACAGACATTCCCATGTTGGCTTTAGTCGCCATTACTGTCGACGTCACCCAAGGTCAGCTAGGTAGTAAATAAATGGTGGAGTCACACTTGGCACTACAGTCTGATGACAGCACCTCAACCCACAGCTCTATATCGTCACTGTATATTTAGTGTGTAGTGCAGTCCTGGGGGTATGAGGAGGAAAAGGACTCGTCATCTATTTACTAGTTATCATGTTTTTTTTTCGATAGTGTCTCTTTAACATTATTAGGTAAGTAGCAAGCTGTACTCTGTACTTGGCAATTAACCCATTTCCATTTGTTCTGAGAATACTGGCCGGGGTGTGTGCGGCTGCAGCGTTCACCCCGAGATTACTCGCGGATCACAGTTCTAACCTCGCCCCCAAAGTTTGCCGCGAAATAGCTCACTTTTATTAACACTTTCGCATGGCCCTAGCATAGTCTTTGGAAACAAACGTCATCATTCCACACATGGCATTCTGTTTTTGGTAGTGGTATTTCCATTTACAGGATACAGTGATTCTCGATTGCTGAAAATGTCAAACCCTAGGAAACGTAGCGTTCCTATGCGTGATGTTAAACATCCTTCTCGAACGGCTATTGGCCGAGGGTTCGTTTGATGAGTCCATTTGTATATACACTTGTTACATCAGGATTAGAGACAAGTTCTGTTTAGAAATAAGTCCAAGAACAGTTTTTATATTTTCACATTGAAAACCAGTCAGATTTGCTTCAGCCTCAAAGAGCGTGTTTATGGAAAGTTAAATGAGCGCTGGCAGCGAGCGGCACGTCTCCTTCCCCGCTTCCCCTCCTCCTCACCCACTGGTGACAACGAGTCTGGCAGCGAGTTGGAACTGAGATTGACCGGGGACAACTCTCATTTGGCATTGTGGGTTCAAGAGAAAAGGAGAGAAAGAAAAATGGCCTCTTAAAATAGGTGCTGTTGGCACAGTTTACTGAGGAAGAAACGGGGGTTCAGCTGGCCACGAGGTTGCCCGGGGCAGGGCGGGCTGTGTCGCCCTTGGATTTGCTCTGTTCCATCTTGCTCCATCCTGCGGTTTGGAGCTCTCTGCTTAGCAGCTCTTCAACCCAGTTACCCGAGTCCTCCCAGGGCGCGGTAGGCAGTGTCTGCTGTGCGAGTCCCTTCTGCCTCCTCCACCGCCCCCACCGCCACCGGCTGCCCCCAGAGGAAGCGGAGTGCTCAGGAGGCCCAGGCCTGGGAAGTAGACAGCCTTGCTCAGGCCTCATGTTAAAGGCAGGAGCTGATCGTAGAAAGTGAATATGCATTAGAAGGAGCGGGGGTCTCCCTGGCTTCTCATCTGTTCTTAACCATCGTTCTTTCCTCTCTCGAGTATTGTAGAAAGGGGTAAGCGAGCTGGCAGTCCGCTTATGAAACTCTAAATGGAAAATAAGGACATAACCTTTATAGTATCAATTCTTAGATCACAATATGATTTCCCAAGTACGTATTTAATTTTTTCGTCTTTTAAAAATGCACCCACTGTTTCTGCTGGGAAATAGTTAAAAGTTTTTTTCTTCTCTATGTTTTTGGTATATTACTGCCCGTGAAGACAGATTTGTAGATTTGCAGTTAGTGTGTGTTTCTAAATACTGTTCTTGTCTGGACACATATCTGAGATCACCGTTTCTTAGTGTTTCAGTCAAGATAGGCTAAATTATGCTGCAGTGACCACCCCCACATCTCAGTGGGTTGAAAAGCAGAGGTTTGTTTACCTGCTTGACACAGGTGCATGTTCAGCTTGGTTTGGGAAAGGGGTGGGGAGTCTCGAGGATCAGACTGACATCCACCATCTTTCATGTGGCCACTGTGGCTTGGCGAGTTGCACATTGCCTTTTAAAGCTTCCACCTGGAGGTAAAATCACTTTATACTGGCCCAGACAAGTCGCATGGCCGCAGCTAAGTTCAAAGGGGCGGCAGGTGCTAGGAGGGAGAGAGATGGAGAGAGAGACTGCCCAGCAGCAGTCTCCATGGCTCTGGCACTTGACCACCTCTCTATCTAATCTATCGTTGGCCAGATCCTGACTGCTTCCGCCGCCACGTTCCCACCGCCTGGTTCATCTGGCCTTGAACCTGGCCTCCCTGCTCTGGGCCAAGGCTTCCTAATCTTCTCTGTCCAGACAGATCTTTCAGGAAGATCTGATGGAAGGAAATGTAACTTTGGTTGGTGAACACACAATGCAAAACACATATGACGTATTATTGAATTTTACACTTGAAACCTATATAATTTTATTAGCCAGTGTCACCCCAATAAATTTGATAAAAAGAGGAGTATCACAGAAAAACAAACAAACAAACGCAGATCTGATTTTTGTACTCTCCTGCAGGAAACGCCCAAGTGGGTTTTCTTTTTCTGTCCGGATAAATTCCAAACCCTTAAGCCAACCTCTGCGGCCTCTCTCCTGCCACTAAGTGCCAGGATTACCATGTGCCCTCTGATGCATTAACTGATTTAATCCTCAGCACTCCTGGAGGTGGACATGCTGTTTCTGATTCAAACGTAGCAGATCTTATCTGTAGCCTGGAAACTTCAAGTTGTCCTTTTTATCAACTGCTGGAAAAAGAACCTGGTTCAGTCCGAAAGGGCCATTGATGCAAGTGCAGGAGATAGACACCCGTAGCCGTGGAGAAGGAAGTTGCTGATCAAGTTAAAAACTCAAAACGTTCACAAGAGTAACATCCCATTCTGTATTTAGTGAGCATTAGGTTATCTGGTAAGTCTCGAAGATGTCCCCTTAGAGACAGCTGGACCAACACAGTTTAGAGTTACCGCCGGTGACATGTTACCTTTCATTCAAAAATACTACATGGTCATTGGTTGTTATGGGGAACACTATTCATACTGGTGCTTGCAACTTCCAAAGAGATTCCACAGGAGACCCTAAAAATCATTCTGTCTCTTTTCACTCTGGTCATAGAAAAAACGTAAAAAGTCAAGACTGTAGGTTCTACATGGAAAAATATGTTCCAATTACTGTTGAACCTTTGAAACCTAAAATAAATTTAAAATAAGAACATAAAGCACAGTCCTTCAGGGAGGGGTCAGTGACTGAGCCAGAGTTCCGGAGGACGCACACCACACACTTGAAATCAGACTGTGACATCCAATTTCACTGTGACATCTTGAGCTGTTGGTAGTTACTCTTTTGAGCAATACTTTCTGTTGTAAAATGTGTTTATTTTTTAAAATTTATTTATTTTTAATTCTTTAATGTCACCACATATTTGACCCCCTTTACCCCGTCTCCTTCCCCCCTTCCCCTCCTCCTTACCCAGTGGTGACAACTAGTCTATTGTCCATGTCCATGAGTGTCTGTTTGTCCTGTTCATTTGTTGCTTTTAGGTTTATATCCCATATATAAGTGATATCATGTGGTTTTCAACTTTTTCAGTCTGGCTTATTTTGCTTAGCGTGATTATCTCGAGGTCCATCCATGTTGTAGCAAATGGCAGTGTGTCATCTCTTCTCATGGCTGAGTCATATTCCATTGTATGTATGCACCACAGCTTCTTTAGCTGATCATCTATCGTAGGACACTTCAGTTGCTTCTATGTCCTGGCCACCGTGAGTAATGCTGCTATGAACATGAGTGTACAAATATCTTTTCTCATATGAGTTTTCAAGTCTTTGGGGTTGGGGTAAATACCCAGTAGAGGGATTGCTGGATCCGATGGTAGATCAATTCTTAGTTTGTCGTGTAACCTCCATACTGTTTTCCACAGTGTACCAATTCGCAATCCCACCAGCAGTGTATGAGGGTCCCTTTTTCTCTGCATCCTCTCCAACACTTGTTATTACATGTCCTGTTGATAACAGCTATTCTAACAGGTGTGAAATGGTATCTCTCTGTGGTTTTAATTTGCATTTCCCTAATAGCTAGTGATGTTGAACATCTTTTCAAGTTTGTTGACCATTTGTATGTCCTCTAGGGAGAAGTGTCTGTTCAGGTCCTCTACCCATTTTTTGATTGGATTGTTTGTTTTGTTGTTATGGGGTTGTATGAATTCTTTGTATATTTTGGATATTAGGCCCCTGTTGGAGGCGTTGCTTGCAAATATATTTTCCCATTTGGATGGCTGTCTCTTTATCTTGCTGAGCAGAAGCTTTCTAGTTTGATATAGTCCCATTTATTTATTTTTGCTTTTACTTCCTTTGCCTTTGAGGTCCTTGTCAGGGGTCCCTTCCTGCCATGTTTCTGGGGTGTGTGTACTCGGCGCCTAAGTCCTTCGAGGCAGGAGTTGTGTAGGCACCCCGAGATCTGCATGGGGCGGTCGCCGAGTCCGCGGTTGTTCAGGTGAACTGTTCGCATCCAGCCGCCGCACACACAGTTTTATGTGAACTTGGACCTGTACTTGTTGGTGACTCGCCCCCTAACCTGCTCTCCTAGATGACGGGTCTCCCCCTACCCAGCTATCTGATGGCGTCCTCAGCGGGGCTGCTGCCCACCCAGCTGCTGAACTCTTACTTGGGCACCACGCTGCGGACCATGGAAGACGTCATCGCAGAACAGAGTGTCAGCGGGTATTTCGTTTTCTGTTTACAGGTGAGCTCGAAGCCAAGGGCTGCCTCTTTTTCTCCTTGTATTACATGGCTGATTTAAACCTAACAGATTGTACTGAAAATAATTTAAGAGGATTTTCCTTTTTATGTCTTTGTTCTTTCAATTATACTTCATATTTTGACACTGACATTTTTAATCGTGTGGATGTATGGAAGTATAGAACTGAATTGACACTTGTTGAAAACTCTTAAAAAGGGAATGACAAAAATCAGGTTCTTTCTGCAGTGATTATTTTCAAACTCATTACTAAATCAAATACTCTATTTTGAGTTAGTGCGAGGTGTTGTTAATACTATGTTTCTAAAGATAATTTTAGTGAAATTTGGTGGGGTTGGGTTTATCTTAGTTTATCCTCAAATTATTGGACTATTCTATTGATATTTTTTAGATTATACTGGCAATGCAAATTTTTATGAAAAATAACCACAACGACAAAAAGTGGAGATATATTTTGCCCCGATTTGATCTACTTTGTTACTAGGGTGTAATTGGTCTCAGGAAAGACTCGGCTTACAGAAGACAATGGAAGAATGAAAAGTTAGGCAGGAGGCGAAGGGCAGGGTCAGCTGGCAGAGGGAGGGGCTTCCGGCTTCCGTGGTCTGACGTGGGCACAGATTAGCCTCAGCTGAGAGCCGCCTGAGGCGAGGCCGGTGTCCACAGAAGTGCACAAGGCCGCAGCTGTTCCCGTCGGAAGTCCGGCTTCCGTCCCGGGTCTGGCACAGCTGACCGCCTCGGCCGGGCCCACTGTCCCCGAACCCACCAGCCACAACACCAGCCGGGTGGACCCGGGTCCCTTCCGCTGTGCAGCTGACCCTCTGGGAACATCTAGTCGCACGCGGCTCAGCCCCAGCTGGTGTCCCCGCTGCTTCCTCTGTCCTCCCGCGGCCCCATTTTCCTCCACGGCTGCCTCAGACCCACCTCGCGCCCGTCCTTCTCACATAGCAGGCAGAAGCCCTCCAGGGGGAACCCCTTGTGATAGGTCACTTTGTTCACAGATCATTGGTAACCCCACGATTTCTAGCAGAGAAGCGCAGGCGCTCCTGTGACGCGCTCGCTTGCTGGGGACGCGGAGAGCAGGTGCCTCACTGGGCTGCGCACGCGGGTTGTGGGAGCAGCGCAGGCCACCAGGCCCCGGGCCAGGGACACCTGCAACGCCACGGAGAGGCGGCCAGCTGCCCGCCCCCCACTGCAGGCTGGGGTTTCCGTGGCTGGCCTGCTTTCTGCGGCCTTCCCCCCCAGACTGCCACTAACCCGTCCCTGTCCCACTGCGGACCCCGCCCTAGCAGGGGACCCCCAGCGTCTGTGGTTGCGCGGCGTCCCCTGAGTCAGTCCCAGCGTCCATGCTGAGCTGTTTGGGCTCCGAAGCCGCGGTCCCCGCCAACCCTACGGTGGGGTGCAGGGGCGTCTGGGGAGCTCGGCACCCCATCCTCGCCCTCCCCAGTCAGTCTAACATTTCGTCCAGCTGTGCGCTACAGGTGTCAAACTTACCGTCTCCAACAGGTGTACCTCGTTTTTTAGAGAGAGCAAATACGTTAGAGAACACGCAGGGTTCAGAGGCCCACCTTGAGAACACCTCGTTAGCTTAGAGCCGTGTGAGTGGGGGTGCTCCCCAACCGAGCTCAAGCCCGCACCCGCCCACCTCACCCCATCTCCGCCTCTACCCCTCCCCCACCCCTCAACGCTGGATCCCGGGTGCTGTCCCCGCGTGGGTGGGCTTCGTGCTACAGTGTTACAGTTGAGGGTCACTCATTCCAGCAGCCTTTGGGGCACGTGACAGGCTCCTGCCCTGCCTCGTGTCACCAACTGAGAACTGTCCCGCGTGTAACTTTGGAGTAAATGCCATCAGGAGATGTGACTGCTGAGACTCTGAGCATCATGTGCAGACTGCTAGAGGGGCCGGTGGGACACTGAAGCCCACGCGGCCCAAGGACTTCACCGAAGTCACCAGGCCAGGCCGCCTTTCCCCCGATGCTTTCTCTAGACTCCCTTCGAGCTGCATCACCTCTAGTGTAGATGTTTTTTATTCCTTGAAGGAAGCTTTGGAGTACGGAGGCAAGTTTTACTTCTCCCGAGCAAACATCACTTATGTGGACGGAGGGGGTGCGCGCGCCGTCTGCTCACCCGATGCCACGTGACAGTTACTTGAGATTTGGGCCGACACTCCCCGCCGAAGCAGCCAAGGAAAGAACAAACGACGCCGTGTGCAAACTGTTTAAAAACCTTGCCCGACCCCACTGAGAGGCAGCCACACGCTGCTCAGCCACGTGGCGGGCTTGTCTCCCCCCTTCCCTGTGCGAGCGTTAACTGTGCTGTGTCGCCTTGTTCACAGATCATCGTCAGCGTAGGCCTCATGTTTTACGTGGTCCATCGAGCCCAGGTGGAGCTGGACGCAGCTATCGCAGCGTGTGAGACGGAACTGAAGAGCTCCCCGGGGAAGGGTGGGCAGCCCAACGCGGGCGGCCCCTCGCTCTACACCAAGAGGACCGTGCCGCCTGGAGGCGGAGTCAACATCGTGTGATGCTCCTGAACGTGCCGCCTTCGTCCCGCGGCCTCTCCCTCGTGGGCGGAGACGGCTCTGCTCGTCCTACGGCACAAACACAATGGACTAGTTTTTAAATTGCACAGTTTTTTAAAGCAGAATCGTCTTCTGGACACGTGAGTGTGATGTGGTTGGTGCAGTCTGGCGGCACCTGGCTGTCATTTGTCACACCCGCGATGGCCTCTGGGTCTGCACTTTAGCGTTTTCTAACTGTTTTCTTTCTGGGTACTTGTGAACGGAGAAATTACCTAAATATTTTTCTGCTTGTGTCTTTATTTATAAAGTCCACGGACAGTTGTATGCACCTCCTACTTACAAAGATGCGTGAGAGTCTGCAGTTCTGCGTGTGTAACAGCATCGGTGTCCTGTGCTTCGCTAGTCTTTCCAGAAGGGTACTCGGCGGGCGGTTGGGCTTTGTGGTCTTAGGTGGACCACTTCGCTTCGCTTGTCCTCACTAGGTACAGCCGGACGTGAACTTCAGGTTGGATGTGTTCTCGCAGCCATCGCTGCAGGGCCGTCTGCCCGTTCACAGCTCAGATCCCACGTGGGACTCAAGTGCTCTTAAGATGCCTTTTTATTTACACTGTGTAATATGCAAAGCAAGAGGGGAGTTTCCGGGTGGCCGTGGCTCAGACGACAGACAGCTCATGTTCATTCCGTCCGTCGGCTTCACTCTGCGTCGTCCTTCGTCCGAGGGCCGTGCCGCTGCAGCCCCACCGAAGCAGCTTATTAAAATGACCTTTTTCTTTTTATATTCGTCGTTAGGCTTTGAAATAAAAATGTTCTTCCTTTAAAACGGTGGGCTTCCCATCAGTGAAGACGTCACTCGGGTGGCCTTATTTGATCAAAACGCCTTTTTAAAAAACCAAGCTTTAAAATCATGTCTATAATTCCACCGAAGTACACCTACACTTGTCCCCATAGCCTTCAGCTTTAAAACTATGAATATGATGTTAACTTAATGCCCAGTTTGTGTCATTTGCCCTACGAGAGAGTAGGTTTGTATTGTTTGTTTTTCAGTACTTGCTTTTCTCTGATACGACTCAGGAATTCTGAAATGTGAAATGAAGTCTCTCAGTTCTTCCTCTCATGCCATGAATTGAGTGTATTTATTGATAGTACTCGTGAGTATAGCATATAATAATTTGGCATATGATTCCTATGACATGTATTCATTTATCACCTATTTTTAATACAGTTTAATAGTGAACTTAAATATTAGTTTCTGTTTTGTTTCGTTTTACTATCGAGATACAGACATGGATGCCAGTTCTCTGGTAGGTGTCTCATTTCTGGCTCTGGAGCTTCCAGTTATCAGTGGCCTCCCATTTGCCATTTCTTCAGGGTAAAGCCTTTGCCCTAACTCACTGAGTGCCACGCAGCTGCCCAGAAGCAGGTCATTCTGGTCTTCTGCCGGCGCTGCGTTGCATGCTGTACCGCGTAAGTTCTTTGCCCCGTTGCGGGTGTAGTGTTTCCCTGCGGGTGTAGGTCATTTCTAAGCCCCTACCGAGAAGACCGGGTACAGTCAGTCTCGGAGGCGCCTGGTCTGCGGCACCTAACTGGCCTCCAAGTCTTTCTTTCTTCTACTGGCAAAAAATTAAAGTGTAGTATTGGGATATTCTTAGTCTTTTTGAATCCTAATTACTCGTTTAGTTCTTCTTTTTTTTTAAATGATTTTAATGTAATCCAATGAACATTCGATTTATTCTTTTCTGTCCAATGACAAATTTTTCTTGTGCTCCTAGTTTTCCAGTTAGTTTCTGTTACAGGACTCATGAATTTAAGATCACTACATTCATACTTGTGTTACGCTTCATGTATTTCGAAGTGCATTTATTTACTTAACATTGTGTAACTTGAATAATTCACCAAATGAATACCTTTTGGTAGTATGTAATGAGTTCTTCCAATTGTTGCAGTTTGCTTGGTACTTAAGTATGTAAAAGTAAGAGAGACGTAATTTTCCTGTATTCTGCCAACCATCATTTTATAAAATAAATCATCCATTTTTACTTAATAGAGTGTAGACTTACTGTTTCTAAGATACGAGTTCAAAGCCACAGCTCCTTGCTTCATTTCCAGGCTCCGAGTAACAGCAGTCACCACAGTCATGCCACCTGGTAGCTGTCCTTGGCTGGCTTTGGATGTGCCCAGTGTACACAGCACTGCCGTGCCTCGTCCGGTCCACGTTCAACCCTGCGTCCCCGACATACGGCAGCAGCACATTGAGGCGGGACTTTTCCATGCTACCCATATATCGCTTCCGATCATAGAGTGTGTATTTATAAAATAAAGAGTTTTGGATTTTTCAAACTGTTCACATGCAATATAAAAAAGTTGTCTTATGTACATTTTAAAAAGCATACAATACACCTATTTTCTAAATCTGATGAAAGGTATGTTCTATTTTTAATTCTCTGGGCCTTTTTGTAAGTTTTCCAAATTTTCTGGTTTATTGTTACTGATTTTGTTTACTCTTTGCCAAACTGTATCATGTAAATTATTTTTTAGACAGCACCTCGTTTTAAAAACATGTATATAATAATTCACTAAGTGCTTTCATGTCCGTTTTAATTTGATCATCTGATTTGTAAAAGAATTTGAAATCTGTACTTTTTGGTTGTGAAAAATATTAGAACCAAATCTCTGTCCTTAGAAAGTGCATTTTGAGTTTATCTTCAGAAGTGACAATGGGTTTCTTCAGAGTCAGCCGCACTCTGGTTTTATGCACTTTGTAACCAACTCCACACCTTTCCAAGGTGAGTTTCCCGGTTGAGTCGAGTACCTGACTGTCGAACATTTCCCTCCTTGAGAAGCTCCCGAGTTCCGCAGTGACTGGTTTACTCTGCTGTCACTGAGCTGAGGGCTGTGGCTACAGGCATAGCCCCGCGTTTCCGCCAGTCACCGTGCAGTGCTGACTTGGACTGTTCTTGGGAGAGGTGCTGTGCTGGCATATGTCAGTGTTGTTTTTAGCTGTGAGACTGTCTTTAGAAGCTTGAGAGAGTCACTAGGTGTGTGCCAGGTCGATGTAGGTGAACCGAGAGGTGCCTGGTGACCCATGCTGTTCACGACCAGGCAGTGTTTGCAGAGGAAGGGTTGATGGCCTCAGGGACAAGGCTGACCTGGGCGTGACCTCCGTGATGCACCTGCTTCCGACAGGTCACGCCCTGTATCAGAATGGCAGTCGCTGTAACACTGTCTGGATTTTAGGTTGGACACTGCTGATATTTCTGTACGGTGAATTATTTAAGACAAGAGTTTTTAAAGGTCATCTTGAGCCGGAAAGCCCCCTCCCAGGAGGGGTCACCTGCTCCTGAGGACACTTAACCGGGAGTTCCAGTGACATCACAGAAAACAGTGTTCACTTGTTATCTTGCCCGACTAAATGATAACCTACTTCTGCATTGCTGCACACTGTTCTCCAAGGTGGCTGAAGAGTTAAAGTAGCTGGTTCTAAAGGAGAATCAGTCAAGTCTCCGGCTCCCTGGTGTTCCAGATCACTGTGCCCGAGGGAGCAGAATCAAAGGTCTTCTCCCCTCTTTCTCCCCACTTTCCCTCTGGAACTTAATGCCATAGAGACGTGTGCCACGGGGGAGGGGCCACGTGCTTCCAAGAATGTGCGTGTGGGCGGCCAGCCCTCCCCGGCGGCGCAGCTGCGGCAGAGGCCCTGTGCGGGCGTGACCGACGTGCTACACGCCGATGTCACCCCTCACTCCCCCGTCGGTTTGGTTCTCTAACACAGCTGTCCCTCGTATCCACGGGGACACGCCCAAGACCCTCAGGGGGTGCCTGAAACTGCGGGTGGCACCGGACCCCAGATCCACCATGTTTCCCCTATAAATACACACCTGCGATGCAGTTCGATCTATAAGGCACAGCAAGAGGTTAGCACAATAACAACAGAACAGTTATAACAATACACTGTAATAATAGTTACGTGACTGGCTTTGGGGCCGACATGAAGCACAATAAGGGTGACGACCACAGCACTGCGACAGCGAGACAGTCCCTCTGGTCACCAAGATGGTCGCTCCGAGACCGGGGCGGGCCGTGCACACTGCGTGGAGACGCTGGGCAGAGGGGTGAGTCACGTCCTGGGTAAGAGGGAGCAGGATTCATTTCACTACTCAGAATGGCGTTAAAATGTATGCGTTGTTCGTTTCTGGAGCTTTCCACTTAGTATTTGGACCGTGGGTAACTGAAGCCATGGACAAGGCGGAACGCTGTTCCCCACGCCGGAGAATGCTGCCGGCCGGCCAAGCCGCTGGAAGTCGCTTGTCCCATCCTGCAGCAGGTCGAGCTGCCTTTCCGAGGACAGAGCTCCCGGAGTCTAATTTCATGCTGTTTCTTGGCGGCATGTTCTAGCTGCCACGACGCTTTGTTTTTGCACCCAGAGCGACACTGCCTCGTCCGTTTGCAGCAGGTCCGTTACTGTCGCGTGTACACCTGCTGTAGCCATTCTGGATCAGAACTGCTCGCAGAACGTGAAAACGTGGGGTGAGCACGCATCGGCAGGGCTCGGCGCCTCGTCCAGGGACAACGTCCAGACCTGAGTGCGCGGCCTGGGCCATGTGTGGTCGCTCGGG